TAAAGTGTGAGACAGATTCAGTCAACTCAAGGTAAACTGTCCTGAGATGAGACCACCTGATACTTACTCCAAAAACTGGCCCATGCCAAACAACAAAACAAAACCTAGAGCATCCTAAATCAACAAATACACCCACCTACAACTTCGAAAGTTTTGCTCTGTGACCCCTATTATTTTTTCAAACAGGAGATTCTTTTCTAATAAAACCATTCAAACCAACCTGCTTTTTGGTAGTTTAGATTTTCAGAACTCAAAACTCTCTGCAGAACCTCTTAATTTAGGGTGGTTTAGTGTTTTTCTACCTCGGAAGGAACTTTAATCTGGAGTGTTTTTATTTTCTCCTACTGTGCCACAAACACAAGAACATCCAAAAACGGGTTTTCTACGCAACAAATTTTACCCACAAATCACCAAGAATGGAAGATGTGTAACTGAGGATCCAAGACCAGCAGCTGGAGATCCTACTCAGGAATCACTGTAGCTGCCTCTGGAGGGGGGAGGAAGATGCCTGACTGTGAGATGAGGATGGACAAGTTGTCCCCTGCCCAGCCAAGCTGCCCCAGGTTTGGTCCCCAATGCTCCCCTCCTTTCCCTTGAGTCCCACCACCGACAAGGACCATTTCATCAGTGACCAACTAACAAAACCCAACAACCATCCCTGTTAAGGTGCAAAGGCGGCTCCCCGAGACGTTTGGAAAGGGCCCCTTCGGGACCCCCTTGTGAAATCTGTGCTTGTCTCCACTATTACTACTTTATACTAGAAACTACAAATTACTTCATTTTTCCCGATCTCCATACAAATATAAAAGATGAAGCTATTCCAACCCCATATAATCTAATTATACTACATTACAGTGCTGGAGATCATTTCTAAGCCTGTATCTGCATTCCCACCTCTACTCCTCTCCCTACGTGACTCAGCTTCCTCTGGCCAAGGGAAATCTCCAAGTGCCACTAAAGCTTTTTTCTTTTTGCACTAACACACATAATTTAGGGAAACGGGGACAAGATGGCAAATTAAACAATATTAATGTTTACATGGTTATTATACACTATGCCCAAACGCTTGAAAATCCTCTCTCACCTTCCAGGAGCTCGCCTGGCTTTCCAAGCAGCACACCTAGTTCATAACCAAGTTCTCCAAAATATATATTTTTTTTAATGCCCCCTTTTACCAATAAAATTAGAAATCTGGTAATGGGAGCCCTTGGCCAAATCTCTGCAGGACCCTGGCTGTATCTTATTTCTTCATAAAGAGCGAGGAGAAGTGAACCCTCCTCAGCAATATCCAGGTTCAGATGCCAGATATGACACATCCGACTCATCCCCACCGTTCGACAGCAATTAGCTAAAAATAGAAGGAAGGTGCTGATGGTGACAGGAACAGCTGACTCGCTTCTAGTGTTGTAGCTGTTGTGGATAAAGTGCAGAGGAAGGGGGATTTAAAGGTATCTGGGATGCTGGGAAGGGTTAAATGGGGGATGCAATGAACACCACACTGCCGAGAAAACAGCTTCAGCTGACAGGTTTCTGCTGGGGTTTTGGGTGGCAATTTGGGTGTAATTTGTCCATAACACGCTCAAAGGGTGTGAACAGCCTGGCAAGTGGGTTCCAGGAAAGCAATGAGGGGCTAAAGGCGAGAGCACGAGCAGAAAAGGGCTGGGTTAACAGGGCGAAAGCAGGAGGAATGGCTGTCCCTGCAGGACCCCAAGTGCTGCACATACTGCCTGATTCTGCACCTGGATAGCTCCGAGAACATCCCCTCAAAGTGCAAACACACTCCCTGTACAGCACATGGAGCTCCCAAAGCCAAGCCCCACTGGGATCCAGCCAAGGAGAGCTTCCTCCATCCTTGTTCTCAGCTCTGGTGGGAAGGGCTTTCCCCTCCTCTCCCGCCTTGTGCAAGAAGGCAATGGAGTCTATGCTGGCCCAACTTCCTTGCCAAGTGTCCCACTAGCTCAGGAGGTGCCACAACACTCCTGCCAGCCTTCCAACCAAACCTATTTGAACGGGGGATGCCGTGCCAACACAAGGCACAGACCCTCGTCCGTCCTCCCGTGGTGGAGCGTCACCAGCTGTCGTGGCAGGAAAGGTGTCTCCTGACCTGGAGAGACAGCGCTGGGTGATCTCACCCAGCGGGTCCCTTCCAACTCAGGATATTCTATGATTTCCTGCTGCCACCGCATCCACCACCAGGAATCCTCCCTGCAGACCCCCATGTGTCTGGGGAAGCCATCACATATTCCTACACCGCTCCAACATAGTTACACTTTTACACCTCCAAGGGAAAAATACGTCTAGGTTAAAAACAACTGTGTTACCGCTCAATTAAAATATTAGTTGGCTAGCCTGGATATCTAATTTTTCCTGGAATACACTGGAATTTCCTTTCTTAAAAACATTCAGTGTTTTTTCAAGGGTCGCCCTCAGAAAATTTTTATGAAAGGAGCATATAACTGATATACCCGAAATCTGCATGACAGCCTGGTTGCCCTTGTTTCCCAAACATCACTCTCAGCTTTGTAAGAGGGAGGTGGCCCAAAGAGAGCACTAAATTATGTACAGAAAATAACTTTAGTTTGGAAAAAAACAGCTCTGAAATGGAACATGCGCTGAGAACTCAACGGCGGCAGATCTGCCTTCCGTGGGTTTGAAACGCTGGACTTGGTTTTCGGATACAAATGAATGCCCTTGATGCTCCCAGGGGAACAGCAGGCAGCTCTAGCACCTCTGGGATCGCCATTCCCGAATCCCTGCTGGGTTTCCCTGCAGGGATATAAAGCTCATGAGCACCAAGACGCAGTGGTTTCACAGCACCCCTGTCAGCTGCACGTTGGGTGGGTGGTCCCGTCGCCGAAGGACCACCCGTGAGTACCAAAGATCAGGGAGCTGCACAGGAATGATGGAGAAATAGCAATTACAACAGACACCTTTCCTTAATTAAAAAAAAAAAAAAGAATATTTAAAATTATCCCAGTCTGAAGGGATTCAGCTGTGTCCTTGCTCTGCCTCAGCCAGCCTAGGCCAGGCAAAGGAAGATTCCCTCTCCAGAAAGCATCAAAGGTCTATATAGTAACAAAGTACAAAAGGAGGACACCTCCAAAGAGGAAAAGCTGGTCAATACTCCTGTGCTTCCACCTTGAGGCTTGTTTTTCTACCGCAATTTAATAATTTACATCAAATCCATAATTTTCTGTTTTGTTTTTTTTTTTTTCCTTAAGACAACCAGATCACGTTTTTTCCCTTTGCATTTTGTCCACATGGAGTTTATTTGGCAATTGCCACGCTCCTGCCACTGTGTGCTGAGTGAAATCCAGAGCCCCAAGGAAGAGCACCACTGAAGGCTTGGGAAAGACATCCGAGCAGGTAGATTTGCAAATTACCATGCTGTGTGCACCTCACTGCCTTCACATAATTGCTCCTTTGCCACAGAATTCAGTTGAGTTTTCAACTCTCTCCGTGATATACCCTTCCCCCATCTTCACACTGCTGTATGCCACTTCAAAAAAAAAAATAAAAAAAATCACTTTCCTGCCTGCCAAAAGCCCTGCCTGCCAAAACCCCTGCAAGCTGCTTCCCTTGCGCCAGAATCCCACTACTGGGAAAACAGCAGAAGCTGGGATCTGCCTGGTAAGACCAAAATAATCCAATCAATTATTAAAACCTGGGATTCAAATGAACTGTCCAGGTTACTTTCACAAGCCATTTTTCTTGCCGAAAGCAGCCAGGTTGGGAGTGGAGCTCAGCCGTGCCCTGCCCGCTGAAGGCTATCAATTCTGAGCTTAATCAAACCTGATCTTCCCCCGGCCACAACAGGGCTTTTTGTCTTGGCTTGTGAAAGCTTCCTGACTTCTGGGCTAAAATATATTTACAGCACTAAGAAACAGCCTCTTCTTCCTTTCTAAAAGGTCTCACACACTGTTTTTTTTTCCATGCCAAGTGTGCCCTGATCTCCTCCTGATATGTTCCTCACAGGCTTTGGAAACGAGAGTCACTGCTGGGAATATTATCGATGTACAATGACCTGTAGCCCATAGATCCTAACTAGTTGCACATTATTTAGTTCACATCCATTACGGTTTATAAATTAACAGAGATGTCATTTTCTGTACAAAAAAAAATCCAATGTATATTTATGTTTTTTTAAAATTCAAATAGATTTTACATACATAGAATCTAGAGACACAATACAAAAATCTGTATAAGTTAGGCAATGCATCACAGGAGTGACCAAAAACTCAACACAATTTACCTTGGCAAAATGACAGAACCTACTTCTGCTGGCTGAAAAAAAAAATATTAGCCTTTAATGCGTTTATTAATTTCACTAAATGTACTTGAAATGTTTTTTTCCATAGCGCTATTCATTATTCCTTTTTGTGTTTCGGAGTTACTCTTATTTATTTTTTCCATTTTGTTTTTACACCAAGGAGACTGCAGTCAAATAACACTCAGCAACTCATTTCCTCTCTTTGGACTGAAAAATTAAACAGATACTAAATTATGACAGTGAATTTAGAAAGGAGGGCTCCAAGGGCTTGAAAGAACATGTCTGAGATAATATGATGCTTCTAAGAATATTGCAATCACATCCAAGCAATCACCGAAGCGTGCCATGTAACTACCTCCTCAGCTAATATGCTTTTTTCTCCGTGATGACTAATCATGTTCTATTAAACAGCGGTAATGCTGGAAGAACTCAACTATACAAGTGTAATGAAGCCAGTATTCTCCCCGGACAGATTAGCTACAACTGATTTGACACATACCATCATAGGAGCTTCAAACCTGACAAACTCTGTGCTTGCTTCTGATTTATGCCGTCAAGCTCTTCAGAGAAGAGAATGGAATCCAGGCGCGGCGCTCGGCAGAGGTGAAATGTACTGATGTGCTTAACTGTCAGTCACGGGAAGTCACCGGCTCTCCTTCCTCCTCCTCTCGCTCGCCTCTCCCTCCGCCCTTCCCTCACGCCGGGAGGCCGCGTGTCCCTGCTCCGTGTCCCTGCTCCGTGTCCCTGCTCCGGGGCGGCCACGCTCCCATGGTCCCGGTGCCACGCGCGGCGTGTTCCACTCAACCCGCGCGCCCTCGCCCGCTCGTCCCCGTCCTTCCGGAGCTGTCACTGAAACAACGGCCTTCCCGGCAGCCCCCCGGGCTCCTCCTCATCCCCTCGCGCTCTCCGCGTTCCGGATGGGACAGGGGTGCACCGAAGGGAAAAGGGAAAAGGAGAGTTACCAGACTCACAGAGCAGAGCTGTGATGGGGATGGAGGGATGTGAGGCTGCGGATGTAACTCAGCGAATGCACGAGGGAGCTCCTCAGATGATGGTGGGCATCCTGCCGCCGCTGTTGTTCCGGTTGTTGTTCTTCCTGGACAGGTTGGGGGTGGCCATGAGGACGAAGCGCTCGTCGGGGCAGCCGTACTGCAGGAGCACGTCGATGCACTCCTGGCTGGAGGCCTGGCGGGCGTAGGCCAGAGCTGTGTTCCCGTGGGCGTCGCGCGCCATCACGTCCACACCGTACTGCGGGAAGGACACGGGGGCTGTGGGAAGCTGCAGTGCCAACTGAGCAGCAGAATAGGAAGGAGCAGGTTTGGGAGGGACAGATTTGGATTTCAAGGAGGATGGGGACAGGGAGGAGAGGGAGCGGGCAGGATACCAGCCTGACAACGTGAGCACAGAGCACTGAGCCAGACACATAAAGGTTGTTATGGGAAGGGGGTCTCACATGTGGAACAAAATCCGTCCCAGAGGTATTCTGAGCTAAGGGAATCTCTCCTTCCTCATTTCCTACGCTCTCCTTCCCTTTCCATCAAGGAGGAGACAGGCACAAACATACCTTATTACCCTGGTGCTGCCCTTTGAGAGTGCCCTGTGTCAGCACAACCTCTTCGTGAAGCCCCAAGGAGCAGGTGAGGTGTGTCCTGCTGAGGGACACAGACAAAGCCCACCCTGCCCACCGGCACTTACCCAGATGAGGAGCTGCACCAACACCACGTTCCCTTTCCGACAGGCCAGGTGCAGGGCCGTGCGCCCGTCACCGTCTCCACAGGTCTCGTTCACCTCCTCCCGAGTGCCGTGGGCCAGGAGCAGGATCACCGTCCGCAGGTCCTCCTCGGCTGTGGCCCTCAGGAGATGCTGGCCCAGAGAAAGCTCCAGGCACTGCAGCGGGGCAAGGAAGAGCTTCTGCTCGTACTTTGCACGTATCCAGAGCTCCTTTTCTTCCCTAGAGAAGCCAGAGGAGATGGGTCACTCTCACCTGGCGCCACAGCAAACAGTGCTTAACACACAAGGAAGTTATTTCCCCCTAAGAATTTTTGGCAAGAAAGCCCTCACAGAAACAGCTCACCCAAACCTTGTGTTTGCAGCAGTACTTGTGTTGCCCGCCTTATTGTTACTGAGCCGTGTTACTGCAGTGCCCAAGATCCTCCTGGATGGATGCTGTGCCCACAGGGCTGTAAGGTCACAACAGCCAGGAGATCTTAAAAAACCCTGGGCTGGCAAGAGGTCAGTGCAAGAGCCCTCACTGTCACAAAGACCAAAGGCACACAGACAGCCTGGTTCTACCTTACGGTTGGGCTGGAAAAATACATTGCACAGAATACATCCAATTTTTGTATCTCAGAGCAGAAGTAACCAAACAGGGGTGCTTTGTCCTTCTCCAAGTTCAGTAATGTTTCCAAAGGCATATGGATGGTTCCTCTGTTTGTTTTTCCAAAATTCAAACCAACAAACCAATCCTTTGAAGCGCTTTTGCCTCTTGATATATCAAAGAACTATCAAAAGCTTTCTGGGTGCTCTCAAGTTACAGGAGAACAAGGGCTACAAACAAGTCCCTCTAGTTGCCATTAAAAAAATTAGCATACAATTATAGGATGTGAGAGATCCAGCCCCAGACAAAGTGCCATTTAGAGGTACCTCAGGTAATCTGTTCAGCCTGTGAGAGCCATTCGCATCACCTGAGCCAGGACCCTGGTCCTGGTGACAGATTCTCTCCCCTGGAGTACAAAAGGCCAAGCTCTGTTTACGCCTTTCAGCCGTGTTTACACTGCTCCCAGTAATCTAGTGTCAGGTTAGCCCTAATCTGTTTTTAAATACTTATGTAAACAGCTCCTTCCACCAGCAAATCTGGATTAGTTTTGCATCATTTCCTGGGACATGTGGAGTGACCTTGCTTTGACCTGCCTGGATGCTTTCAGGCACAGCTTCCCAAAGCTTGTGCTTCCCTACCCCGACCACAATTTATCCTAAAACAGGTCCGGGGCTTTTATTCAGAGCAAAAGTGCAAACAGAAAATTAACACAGAGAGTGCTCTTTTACATCAAACCTCTGAATGACTCCTGCAAGCTAAAAGACACACCAACCTCCCCCCTCAACGACCCGTTTGGGGAGTTGCAAATAAACCTTTGATGGCAAGATCTGATAACCAGAGTATCATTGCAGGTATTCCAGATGGAGAGGAGGAAGAAAAGGAGTTATCAGAATCTTTAATTCATGGGTTTTCTATTTGTATTTTTTTAAGGTAAAAACACAAACCAGAACTAGTGCCACAAAAAGGAAAAAGTAACATGCAATTATCTACAATAAAACGGGCATTCTTGCAGCAGGTCTACTTCCAGTATCCACCTAGATTATCTTCAGGGATGTTTACTTCTCATGTGATTTTTAACATACATAGAGGTATTGAAAGTACAACCAATACATCCACTGCGTGTTTAAAATGTGCCACATTGGAAAGTGAAGTGATTCAACCTGTGCTGTTCACCCACAGCAGGGCTTTGGCCATTTATTTCTCCTATGTCCATACATCCTAAAGGCAAACTATACCTCAAACACCTACTCAATTAATTTTCTTTAGCCAAGAATCTGCAAATGAATCCCCTTTTCCCCCAGACCATCTTTTCGGTGATAGGAAGTTTTGGCTCCTGTCAGAGCACCGGCTGTTGTGATCACCACGGCTCCAAGAAAAGCCCTTTTTTTGTTTAGAAAACAAGCTGTTTGACCCAAGTCTCCCACTTCCAATCACAATTCACCTCAAAGTGTAACAGTGATGCTGTGATATGCACTAAAATACAGAGAATAAAAGCTTAGTTCAGGCAGAAGCTTTCCAAGCTTTAGGTTGCTGGTTTACAAATTCACTGGCACGAATTTCTCATTTGCCGTGTGTCGCACGGGCAATCCTGATACCCTTGGGAGGCTTCAAGAAAGAGGGATGAAGATGCTCCAGCCCTGCTCAGGTTTATCCTACTGTCTCAAAAGGCTGGGGGAAGAAGAGAAAACCCTTTAAAAATAAATGGAACAGGAAGGGGAAAATAATGGCACCAGCATTAGGGATGGAGACGATGCAAGTGGTCCCTCCTTAAGGCACTCCCCAGCATGATCAAGTCACCCATAACTGCTCTGCATTAACTGTGTGCTCTGGTCAGGATGCATCCCTTAACCAGAGGAAGTGTGATGCAGAGCCTAGGAACAGCCAAGGAGACATGGAATCCCTCAGGAGATGCTGAGGCCAGCGCAGGGCCCTGCCACCAGCAGCAGGCTGTGACATGGGGCTACATTCACCTAAAAATCCAACCTTTGCACGTGGTTATTTCACCTCACTCCAGTTTCCCTTTTCAGAAAACCTGCCTGATTTTTCTTCACCACGCAGGGCACCAAGAGGTTCCATTTGTTAAGGCCCAATTCCACCTTTGGAATCACATCAAGGGTTGTGGTGGGAACACAGCAAACACCACAAATCAAAATAAAGGTGATTCAAAAGCCTCAGGCATTTGGGGCAGCACGTCACTGACATCAGCTACTGAGTGAGATCTTATTCAACAGCACAAACTGGGCACAAGAAAGACACAGCATTTGGATTTTAGGGTAGAAAACTAAACCTTATCAGAGGTAGCAGGAGAAGCACACTCACCCAGGCCTCACGGAGAGCCAGAACATAGAGGGGCTGTTTTCCAATGAGCATCTAGAAAGCCAAGGCCCACAAACATCCTCCCTCCATCTCTGGCACACACCATTTAATTTGGATGGGAAGTCCTGGGGACTTTCCCGGGAGACAGCTGCAGCTCTGCCGCTGGCATTCATCTCCCAAATCCTGACAACAAGACATAAATACTGTAATTGTTGCTCTGATGCCCCAATTTCCCTTCTGGGATCCACAGCTTGTCTTGGTCGAGGTTTCATTTCCCCCAAGGAAGGCCAGTCCAAGAGCAGAGTTGTCAGCAGTAGATCACTTAACCTCATTGCAGCTCCCTGGAGGACCACTGCTCACATCCCCTCTTAGTTAATGAGCTAAAAAATGAATTATTGGAGCGGTCAGCAATAAGCAGGAAGAGGAGGCACAGTGTTTCATTTCAGCCAGCACTGATATACCTTTAAATAAATCAACTGAATAAGAGTACAAGGAAGTGTGAGGAAGAGCAACTCATCAGGAGAAAGACACCAAACCAATCCCTAAAAATAAAGGCTAGTAAACATTTCCCTCGTTTTCTTCCCTTAGCTGTAATCCTGGCAACTCCAAACCACTCCCTCAGTACCAGAGATTTTCAGCTGTAGTTGTCAAAGCCAAAACAAGACTCTTAGAGTGAACTTTCAACAGCGGAGTCCTTTTCTCAGGACCAAATTAAGAGCTGGTATGCTGGAGAGGCAACACCTCCATGCACTCAGATGGTCCCAATGATTTACCAAATGCTGGAGAACATCTGAACTGCCTCTTCCTCATTTGTAATAAAATGAATAGATTATAACTCCTAGATAAACTTAGAGAAATTAAGAACAGAGTTCCAAGACTTCCTTTGAGCCTTTTATCTCTAAAGTTCTGTGTTCTAACCCAGCTTGCTGCTACAAACTCCAAACCTCACTGGTTACACAAGGGGCAAATACAAGGGGCAAAATACTCTGGGGAACCAGGAATGAGTCACTGAGCCTTGGCCAAAGCCCTCCAAGCTCTCTGCTCTTCCAGGAGTCTCCATCACCAGTGAGCTCCAAGTACACACAGTGGTGTGAATAATGAAATCTCTGTTGTGTCAGCAATACTGTACATAGGTAAAGGGTTATTAGAAACAGATGAAAATTTCAGTTCTCAGTTTATTTTGATCTAATTAGGTGCTTGCTTCTCAAGATAATGTCCAATTATTTAAATTACTCTGCCAGCCACACCACATCATTATTATCTGGAAACATAAATACCGAGCCCTGGGAGGGGGGAGGGCTAACTAGGGAGCATCAGAGGATAGAAAAAGCAGATTTGCTTCCAGCACAGCTTCGCTCCAGGAGCTGCACCGCATTCCCCACTTGTGGTTTGCACTGGAGTTGCTCCCTGAGGAGCCATGTCCTACAAACCTCAGCCCCACAGAGCACACTGAGTTTTACACCCAACAAATCCAACCAGGAGCCTCATGCTGCTGGTACCCACCCTCCATCCTTACTCCTCCTCGCTCCTGTTCATCTCTGCCTTCACTTCCATGGTCCCTCACACATATTTGGTGGGGAGGTATGAAAGGCAAGCACCAAAAGGACTTGCAGGGTGGAAAAAAAAGTCATGTTCTTACAGCGACCCAGAATTGATTGTGTGGGTGGACATCATGTGGATGGGGACCCTGAGAACTTGCCATCAAAATTCCACAGCTCCAGCACAAGAGCAGCCTTGTTCTTGCCAGAGCAGTACCAAGGATGACAAAAATGTTGTGTCCCTCGCTCAGTACCCAGAATTACCCACTGTTTGTTAAAAAGCTGGATCGATTTTTGAAGGTTGAATCAAAAAGACAATGGACAGCAGGTATTTATCATGGAAGAGCACTGATTTCCCACCACCTGAAATACTGTGCAGGCATTTTGAAGTGAAGTTTTATCCTCCACACCTCTGACAACAGCAAAAAGTTCTTGAAATTTCTTACCTTTTCTTCTCACTTCCTAAAGAAACTAATTCTGTAACAGAGGAGGCCTCTAAATGCTCTCTCCAGTGTGGCTGTGCAGGTGCTGTGCCCGTGTGTTGCCATTTCTGGTTGCTCACTGAAGTACAACCGTTCAACGCCGTAGTAACCTGGCCAGCTCAGCAACAGCACTGCCAAATATTCTCTCCTGTTGGCCAGCTGACAAGGTTAATGTGTCTCTTCCAAGAAAATGAAGTAAATCTAACCCCCTGTACCTCCCAAACTCCTGGAAGAGCCCCAGAATGTGTCATTAGCTTCGTGGTCCAGCTTGCAAGAAGCCGTCACCTAATGGCCAGTG